TATTAGTCGATATAGCTGGTCGAAAACTCATAGATAGGGTAACTGAGCTGACAACGCCCGCAACCCTGATCAAATCGACGCAGCAAACAATCCGCACTATTAACATTGAGACGAATCCACGCATTACTCAACTATTAAATGAATACGAGGATATTACGAAACCAGCCTCCCTCCACACTACTCCAAAACACAAGATTAAGCATCATATTATCACTAAACCACCGGTATCAGCACGTGCAAGACCATTACCTCCTGATAAATATCATATAGCAAAGAAAGAATGATAATTCTCCAATTTCTTGGACAACAGAGGCCGAAAAAGCTTTTGATAAATGCAAGGAAAATATAATGAACGCAGTATTAACAGTTCACCCCTCTCGCACCGCCCCTTTGGCACTTATGACGGACGCCAGTTCGACCTGTGTTGGCGCAGTTCTGCAGCAGAAGTCAGGACGTAATTGGGAACCTTTTCAAAGAAATTAAGTGATACTCAACAAAAATACTCGACATTCGACAGAGAGTTGCTCGGAATATATATGGCAGTCAAACATTTTCAAAGGTTAGTCGAAGGAAGAGAATTTACTATCTTTACAGATCATCGACCTTTGACTTACGCATTTTCCCAAAAACCGTCATCTAATGATACGCCACGGCGAATACGACAACTGGATTTTATTTCACAATATTGTACCAACATTCAACATATAGAAGGACGTGACAATATTGTAGCAGACGCATTGTCACGGATAGAACAAATTGATGTGCCATCACCGATTAATTATGCTGATTTAGCAAGATGTCAGCATGATGACCAAGAATTATTACGACTTCGTAATAACAAGAATTTAAAATTTTCAAATATCAAGGTTCCGGGTTCTACTGAAGTCATCGCCTGTGACATATCTACAGGAAAAAATCGCCCCTATTTACCAGAAAAATTTCGGAGACAAATTTTTAATGTCATGCATGGACTGAGTCATCCTGGGAAGAGAGCTACTAGGAAAATGATAACTCAAAGATATTTATGGACAAATCCTCATCACAATTGGCATCCTTCTTCTCTACGGAATACTGAAGACCTTAGACAGAAGAGTGAAAACAATAGCAAGAAACTATCAGCACAAATGCAGTGGATAGTTCATCGACTGCCGCCGCCGTCACAACAAAGGCAGCAGTTTTTATTTCCTTCGAATTAGCAACAATGACATTACATTACGCATAGGATGTAATTTATCAGCAAGGTTAAGTTATTATATAATTAGGTACATACTAATTTTTTTCAATTTATATGTTAATTATTTTTAAAAGGGGGGAGTATATGTAGCGGCACTATCACGTCGCTACATTACTTAGATACGATAGAGATAAGACATACATGTTAATTGTTGCACGTTTGTTAGGATAGCTAAATCTGAAAATATCACGCATCTTCTTAGTATATAAGCACCAGCAATTAAAGTAATAAACAGACCTTAACCATCTACAGTCTCATTATTTACCTTGCCACGAAGTCTGGCAAAATAATGATACATTGTTGTCTATTACTTAAATATGATGATAACCACTGAAGTGTCGGTCCTCTAATCCCAATTGCCTCTAACTTTTGCAGCAGCTTTTGTATAAAATAAGAGACACGTAACTAGTAACGATTCACTGAGTGAATTGAGTTAATCCCGCTTTAAATACTTTTTAGACTTTCTTTATTTAATCGTAGAACCATAGCTTCACAGAACGCGCCGGAAGTTGTGTTTCACCGTGTGACCGAGGTTGGTTACCGGAGGCCCAATCCTTGGTGCTTGGATAAACCACGACACTGACCTGGCAAACGAGCCGCTGAATTACCTGATAGTAAACAATCAGCGCTGCCCCGCAACGCCAGAGAAGTCACTGGTACGTTGCCGGCCTTCTAAGAAGGATTACGCTCTTTCAAGATTTCATGGTCATTTGTATTTGCTAGTCTCCTATTTATCCTTCTTCGTTAGTTTGGAAGAATATTGACTTGGAAAACGACATTGGTTGGTGGTACTTGAATAAAGAGATGCAATAATGGAATTGTCGTTGCGTTATTTTATTTATATAGATTACACCTAAGAATCTTACATATAAAGTTGAGTTTTCAAAAATACAAATAGTTTAGAATCTAAAGTAATTAGGAGACGAAGGAGTTTAACAATTGCTCGAAGTGGACAGCTTGTAGAGGTTGGCCGTTATAGCTTTGTTGCATCTTGATTGGATGTTGAGTGCCAAACTATGCCAAAATGCGCATTGACTTTAGCTTCAAAGTGAAGATAAAACTAACTCGGTACATGTTTCCTGAAGGGTTTAATTTATTCCTAGGTGTAGAATGAATATAAATGTAACAACGTAGATGAGTATAAAGATTGACTAAAATATTCATTGTACGACATGACATTTGGCATGATCAACTGTATGATTTAAAAATGCAACCATAACTTTGCCTAAGTAAAACATAAACTCATTCACGTATCATAAAAATGATAGAGCTAGCTAACCCCACCAGTCCACCAAGCAACCTTGCAATACTACCCTCTATTTATGCCGTACCGAATCGTTCAGTTAAAAATGATTTGAGCGAACTGCGAACATGATGGGCACTTACGTACAATGGTGAGCGAGCGAGCATGCGACTCACCTGCAACAATAATATTTTGGTGGGTTACACGATTCATGTAAATGAGAGTAAATGTGGCCGTTACGAAACACTTGAATAATTTATTTAGTTAAAGGTATCCCTCCTCACTCCCAATCCAGTGTGTGTATGTATTAGCAGTCAAGCAGTCTATTCAAGACCATGTAACAAATGCACAACACGTTCAGAAAAACACAAAATTATATATCGTAGGCTTATTAAAAAACTGAACGAACCTAATAGCAAAAAGAATACTATTATTTTTCATTAGGACTGACAGATTACGCATCTTCCTAAAGGTTATAATCGGTGTCTCAGTTCTAAACAGTCAAATATGTCGGATTTGAGAGCAATATTTCATTTTTATTTTTTAGGTAGGTATACAGATTACAGATACTTTACACTACTTGTAACTTACGTGGATGTTAAAATGTCATCGATACAAATTAATCAAGCCAAAACACAGGGTTCATATTATACTGTAAACCGTTGAGGAGTTCCCTTAGCGAAGGTACTACTTCATCACCAGACTTCTAATGACAATCACAACCCATTCATGTACAAAGTTCTCATTAATACAAATGAATCAAGCCTTAACACGAAGTTATTGCTATTCTCAAGGAGGAACTGAATAATCTGCCACCATATTTTATTTTCTATTAAAAAAATAATCATCAAAATCGCTTCCTAATCGCTGCCTGATAGAAAGAAACAAACTGATAAAGGAGCCTATCTACCTATACAGCACTGTCTCATATGATGAAGTAAAACATCTGAATTAACCTGGGAATTACAACTTCTGATATGTCTGAAAACTTTAATCCGGCTTTATTGTCTTGATTACCGCGGGTTGACCGTGTGGATAGAAAATCTGGTAACAATGGGCTGACGATGTTGATGGTTGATTCGCCCGGGCGTCAATTCCCAACTATGTTATATAATTTAAATATGTTTCATCAGGTTCAATCATCAACTTCTAAAAGGAGCAGGTTTCTCAATTCGACTATGTTGTCGTTATGAATCAAATTTGATGATTTTTATTGGAAAGTAGATGTTTAAAAGGTGATGACAAAGAATTTTCAGCTTCTAATGATGGCAGACCGGAGAAATCGAGGGAAGGTTTCAAAAAATGTGTAAATGATGGAACTTGTACACGCAACCCCGGGACTAAAATTCTACCTAGTGTAGTGTTGTGTACACTCTCACTTAGTTTGACTCAAAATTCGTCGAGCTTGGCGAGAGGGTCTTTGTGACTTTAAAGACTACGTAAATCTGCCCCCTGAATGGACTTCGGAGGGAGATGTATTTTTTGGGCACAATAACAAGTTTAATTATTACTTAGGTACTACAGTACTGGTATGATAGGGCCCAACAGGTCTGTGGGTTTTATACTGGGGAAATCATTAAAGGACTGCTGCAGCCCTGGGTGAAGCGAAAGGGAGTGCCAGGCTGCTCTTACGGAATCTTACGGAATAAAAACCAACAATTGCTCCAAACTCGGCCGTGGTACATCATTACCTTTGCATTCGCAACCCCGGCCTTTAATACTGGCTGGACTATTTGCTTCAGTCTATATTAAATTCACTTCCAAAAGTGTATTTGCCAGTGCGCAAGTGGCACAATTAGCGGAGCGGCGGAGTTAAGTGGTGGCAATCAGTGAGCACTGCTTTACAATCAGTATTGTACCGATACGACCACAAGACTTTGCCTTAACTAGCACAGAGCTCTAATCAGTGCGTCCATATAGACACCTTGTATACATAATCGTTAATCACTGTGCTCACTCATTGCTGCAGCAGGACCTTTTTGTTCTATACAGTGTAGACGGCTCGACATTTAGAGTTGAACACAAAAATATTTCAAACCTTAATTGTAAAATAAAAGTGGAAACAGAATGTAACAAACACGGTGGAGACAAGGTGTATGTATTAGCATAGTATAAGTGGCGTGTGACGTCACGCAGGTGTAGTGATAACACGCGATAAGCACGATTGTCGGTCGCGCAGCCGCTGCCGCAAGTAGGCCGATGTAATCACCGCCGCGGCCCGCTACGTCAACACGCGGAAACAACAAACCGGTATACTTACTCATTTGTACATTAATCACTTACATAAGAAACAAATATGGCGCCCACTCGCCACTTCACATTAATAACTTCCAAGTCACTCTCTTGTTTAGTCAATACTATAGCGTATTTTGCGGGCGCGCTCTACTCTTCATCACCTAGATAATTCAGTTGAAACACAGCGTTTTTAGAACCGGATTAAATACCTAATATAGATAATTATTTAGGCTCATGCGCCTGTGTATACTTTATATATTTGAGCGTGGAGTCTCATTTTTGTTGTACCTTAAAGGCCAAAAGACGCGGACACACCTGCAGAAGCACGAGACCGTATCATCAATGTCAAGGGGCAAGACCGCGGGCGCGGGGATGGCCGCAGGAGTTGGAGGTACGCTTCGGTACTTGACGTGCAGCACACGGCGGGCGGCGCGGGCACCGCTGCGCCGCAGGATGCCCACAGGCCAGCGGGCGCTCGACCGGCCGGCGCTCTCGTCGCAGCCGCCGCCGGCATCGCTCATCCTGTGTACCCACGCCTTCACCACCATGCACCTCACGTCTCACAGCTCGGCTCACTGATACTGCACTTCCAACGCGGACAACGCGGTGTTCCGCGAAGCGCGACGCTGGACCGCGACGACGAGATTGCAGCGTAAAAAACGGCGCTCACGTTTGCGCACCGCGCGCGACTGGCGGTGGCAGCGAGAGGACGCGCCGGCGCCGCGCGGTGACATCACGCCTTATCAGCACACCTGTGGAGCTCGGGGACACCGCCACTCCTCGCGAGTCGCCAGCTAACGCCGGTACCTCGGTGAAATGAGACACCCAACAACAATCGTGTTTACATTGCACAATGCAATGCGACTGTAAAGACAATGCCCTGCCACCGATGCATGTCACATCTATAGGTACTTACGCAATATCATAAAAAAATATTTCAACATTGACACACCAAGTATTACAATACGCGTACATACCTACTTATTTTGTGACTAGGTTTACGAGGTTCCATATTTCCAGAAGCCTTTTTAATAACATAAATAAAATTATAGTAAAAGTTTTGAGTGATACCGCTACCTCACAGAAAATCGGCATGAAACAACCACAGCGTTGTGTTTCGCGATGTGAGTGAAGTCACCGGAGGCCCAATCCTTCCCCAATCCCTAAATCCCCTAAAGGTCAGCAACGCACTCGTAACTCTTTCTTTGGTGCGAGTGTTCATGGGCGGCGCTGATTGTTTACCATCACGTAATTAGTCTGCTCGTTTGCCGTCCTATCACATAAAAAAGTTACATATTTTAGAGTAATATCAAATAAAAGCGATGAAAGCCAATAACTATCTAAATATTATGCCCCGAAGCAGATGCCCTGGGGTACATAGTTCAGGAGAACCGTGCATATGGTGACCGGCGATAGTCAAGGGATCTCCGGAGCCCGGATCATCTCGGATCGGATAGGACGTTCCGTGCCTACACTCTCCCCTCCTCCTCAGCTACCTTAGCTGTAACGAAGAAGTAGGTGCCGAGCGGGCAAGGTTACCGAGCAGACCAGTGCTTGGCATGTGACGCATAATGTACTCCTCGTGGGTGTCTCTTAAACTGCTTAACTTAAAACCAACTCTGCGGCCGTTTTTTGGACTTTCGATTTTTGTTATGTATCTCATTTTTAATATTTGGCTTATGGATTCGTCATGTTTGAAACATATACCTAATACAGTCGAAATGAGAAGCCTCCTTTTTTTTTGTAAGGCGATTTATAATAGATAGATCACAAAATAAAATGATAAATTTAAAAAAGGCCAGAGATTTACCTAATCCTCTATCTTTTGTTGACTTCAAAATATCTTGTCAGTTAATTGTATATTAGCTAACTCTATAGAGCTGAAGATGTTTTACTGTTTCGATTGATTTGTGATAGTTATGTGATTCAATATAGTTTTTATTAATAATTGTTTGTTTGTTTGCAAGCATGGGTAAAATAAGTATACATTGATTTCTTTTTAGTAATGATAAGTTCTCCGTGTTTAAACATCACATGAGTGCAAATGACAAAATTAGGAATAATATTTTTTATGTCAGCCTTGACAATTGCAGTGATTAAAGAATTACATGACATTTTTGATTTAAAAAAAAATGATATTTCAATTTCAGTTTATATTGCTGCTTAATGTAACTTAAAAAAATATGTATCCACCTAAAATCTAAAACGAAATGTATGTAATACATTACATTATTGCATAACCATGATGATTAAACATTGCTGCAAAATTAATTATGCACAATTTGTGTAAAATAAATTAATTTGCAACATTTTTATAAAAAATAAATCTTTTCCTATGTATCTTATGGCCATTCAGAGGCCATAAGATATACTTAAAGGCATTGTTAGGTTATCCATTCTTTACTAGACACCCTGTATACCTGATATAGTATATCTGTGGTCTAACTAAAAATGCAAAGAAAAAATATAAATTTTGTGAAACATCTCTCTAATCTGGTCAGCAAACTTAGCAGTATGTAGTTGTATAGTTTTTCTTGAATTTCACACTACATGGTAAATAATTTATACAAAAAAAAAAAAGAAATTAAACACTACCTAATTTTTAAAAAGTAAAAAAATAAAAATCCCTTCATATGGAGATTGTTTTTACCTATTAATTTGTTAATAGAAACATATTTACTTGGTTACATTCATTTGGCTATAAAGATTACAAATGATTTTGCATCCATCTCTAATTATGCACATATTCCTTATTGCATAGACAAAACCTCTGTTTCTCAAAATAGGTTGCTGAAATGTAGATTCATTCTCTGTACTTATGTAAATCTATGAAGGTCTTGAAAATAGGGTCCATACAGTTCTTCCCTAGTCCTGTGTTTTCTCTAGGTCTTGTTAGCCAAAGAGTGGAGTCTGTCCTTTGTCCAGTAAGCAAGCAAACTATTTTTTTTGAAAAATACCTTGCAAGATTGTTCACTTCTTCTATTGTGGACTAATGTAGCCACAACAACATTTAGCCTCATTACTGATGGTCTAATGTTTGGTCAGCAATGAAACTATGTTCTTGTTTACTCAAGGTTTGCATCCAAAAGAGTACAGTATGGCTGCCATCTCGGTGTGTCTGAAGTTAGCAATTTCAGACTCGCCTAGTTACATCGGCGGTAACATCTATACTGGTTTAAATTATGTTGCTATTGAATGCCACTTAAATTACAATTTTATGATTGACATAAAATGTGGATTTGGCCGACATACAGTGTTTTCCATGAAACACAATACACTTTTTTACACGTTTTTATTTATAGATAATAATACAGCTTTTTATTACAATCAAAAGAAACATGTACCAATGTAGCCACAAACACCTGTTTAATAAAATTCAAAACTCTTTGATAACAATCAAATTTATTCTTGATACTATTAATAAACTAATAACTCACAGTAATGTTTTGTTATATTAAAGTAAACTACAGTATCTAGTTAGGTAGCCAAATGATTTATTCATATTTATTTTGTCAGTCACCTTCACATCACCAATTTACATTTACACCTCTTTGAGGTATAGGTCTTAAATCAGATGATTTTGACAAAACACCAAACAGTCTATAAGCTAATAGACTTATTTTTCTTTAGGTATAGTAAAATCATAACCACTGAATAATTTTCTATAAAAAAACATAACTGAGATAACTATAATAGGTGTTGGTTTATAAAAGAACTGATTCACATTTTTTGGGTTCTTAGTTTTAGTTATTTTCCAATGTTTTAGAAATACATAAATCACAAGTGTGCTATGTATTGCAAGAATACATAGCACACAGTAAACTCACAGCCTGTGAGATAAGGGAATCATGTTTTGTAAAATTACCTATTTTATAGTCATTCCTACAGGGTTTTCAATGACAAATATCTTATGTTTACATATATTAGATATTTGTCATTGAAAACCCTGTAGGAATTACTATAAAATAGGTAATTTAATAAAAGAGATTCTTGGTCTAACTCGTAACATATTCTTATTAGAACTTTAAGATGTTGGGAAATCTGAGAATTTCAATAAACACAGAGACAGAACATAAAAACTGCTGAATGTGTAGTCTCAATAATAATAATTATACCTTTAGTAAGGTACATTTTCACGTTCACACCTGCTATTACGAGTTCATTTGTCGCACAACGATCAAATGTATGATAACTTTGCTTTCTTCTTGTTTAGCTACCAATAACATGAAGGACCTTATTGAACAATGACAATAATGAAAGACGTGCAGGCACTCACCCCATGAACCAGTCGACGGTGTCGCGCAGGTACTCCGGTAGTCGCTCCAGCTTGACAGATGTTTTCCGACTTTCTTCTCAAACCAGCCAACAAACAGCACTAGGAAGAATAGTCACAGCAAGTCCGCGCCTTGACCACACAGAAACACAAGATTTCTCATTACACTGAACAGTGATAACCGACAAATTAGAACTAACTGTATACTTCAAATGAATTGAAAACTGATGTTAAGTAGAGCGTGTCGTCGTCGCAAAACCCTATCATTGAAACTTCACGACTAAGATCAGAGCAGCTGAGCCATAATCGCCATGTTGCGCAACTTAAACATTTTATTTTTAGAAAAAATAGTTCGCCAAACTGTAAGCAATGTTTTGCTCAACGAAGATGTCATTTACCCTTTACAAATCTTAAACTTATTTATTATCTGAACAGAAACACTTAACGTCAACTGTTAGACAACTTATCTGACTTGAAACATCGCAGTCGCAAAAACCAGGTGAACATCATATTATATTCTTTATTTCAAGTAGCAACACTAACAAGTCTAAGTGACAACCTTTTTACAAATAGAAATCAAAATATTTTTTTTTATTTAAATTTTAATGTATTCGCATAACTCCCTCAATTTTGTTCCCATTGTTTTTTCCTAAGTTAAATGTTTATGCTTACATATGTACGGTGAGTGATATGTACTATCTGTTAAAGCAAGACTGTCTCAGTCATAAAATTAAAAATAAACATTTTATGCGTATTGTTGATGTAGGTACCTACCTACCTTGTTTAATAAATAAATAAAACAAAGAAACTGCACATAAGTTTCCACAATCTGAATCATTTTTTTGGGCAAACGAACAACCATTATTAGGACGTAAATCAACAAATACTTATTTACTTCTTGCGCCTTGAGTGGAGCGAGAATGAGTGTCAGACTCTACTGTCTAAAAACCACCCCGTTCTATCTATGAGCTGGGGCAACGATTCACTATTGTCAAAATTATTTGCAACAGCTGACAGCTTATTTGACATAATGACGATGATGTCATAGGGCCCTAATTTGGTCTTTTGGCTCTTTTAGCACCGCGCCGCGCCGGATCTGGTTGTGGTCGGGCGGCAAGATACCCTCATCTGCATAACCATATTAATTTTGGAACCCCTTTTTTGTGAGGGGAAATCATCAAATGACTTCTCCCGCCCAAGGTGTGGCGAGAGCAAAGGTATATGTCCGATGCGCGGACTAGGGGCACACAGATCGGTCTCTAAGGGAATCTATGATTGGCGATCGAAGTCGTCCTTGATTACAGTTTCCAACTGGAGTGACGCCAACTTGGTCAAGTTTAACGCTAGCAAAATTTTGGTGCGTCTGTTCTCCGCCAAATGGAGTCAATTTCCACTGGCTCACTATGAGACTTTTAACACACG